TTTTTTTTTCTAATTCAAAACTGAATTTTAATTTTCAAATTAAACATGAAAATTAGACATCTAAAATTTATTTATTTGCCACCCTATTAATTAGAGGGTCATTGTCCTTTCACATGCATTTTAGTTTCGGCCAATAAAAAAAGTGGGGTTCGCATGAATCATGATCCGTCAGAGCAGTTTCTTGTAGTTGTAATAAAGAGAAGAACAATATCCATCATAACTAATTAGTAATTAGTATTAGAAGAAGATGGATCTACTGTCTTTGAGCATTTTGGTTTGGAAACACCCAATAGGTTGACCTTCTTTGTGCACGTTGCGGATGGGTTGATTAATTTTCTTAATTACTTTCTTTTGTTGGAATGTCAAACGAATTATTGGAATTTCTTTTATAAGCTAATTTTTTTTTAATAGAATTTGTGTTTTACAATCTAAACTACATATTAAAAATACAATTTATCTTATAAATTCTTTTGGAATATTCTTGACTATGGGTACACTATTTGCTTATATGATGATGTTTTTAATATAGAGTGATAATTTATAGTTAGTTATTTTTATTCAAGAGTCATATATAAACCATTGTATATATTTTGTTTTGCTATCCAAAAAATATTGTACTCATAACATGATATCAGTATGCATTATTTTTAACAACATAAATAACCTAATAATAATCTCATTTTATTGAAAATAAGAGTTTTTAATTATATTTAAGTCACTAACATATGAATAAAATAAATTTATTATAAAATGATAGGAGATTATTGACTCCTACCACTTGTACTACCCAAGAAAAGGAAAAAAAAAAAAAAAAAAGACATCCACTTTCTTGTGACAATTTTAAAATTTTATAATGAGATAAAGATTTACTTATGTTAGCTTAGGAAAAAAGCTACCTCACCATATTTCATGCAAAAAAAAAAAAAAAAAAAAAAAATCAACCAAATGTTTGAAGCCCAAAGTTTTCGTGCTTTGGGGCTTAGACGGTGTGGGCCTTATTCATCACTATTGATCATCGTTTTTCTTGGCAGTTAGTCCAAGAGTCAAGCTCAAGAAATCAGTGCAGTCAGCGAGGAAATAATGCTAATCATGAGTTTTAGTAGAAGAGTTCTTAATTACGTAAAAAATGGTAAGTTTATAATCATAATAAGTTTATTTAAATATATTAATTTATTTAATAATATGATCATGCAGAAAAATTAGTATGTTTTGATGTTAAAATTGTGAAGGACATTTAATTACAATTATCATTTAAGTTAGACACAATCATCATTTAAGTGACACTTAAATAATAGTTGTAATTGAACATCTTAATAATTTTAATGTCAAGATTTTTTTTTTTGGGGAAGATGGGGGAATTTGGGGATGGGAGATTTCATTTCAAGTTATTGGTAAAAATCGAATTCTCAATCAATTATACTCAAACATTAAAAGTTTAGAAACAAACTATTTGATATGAAGATCTAGTTTTTTAATGTAAAAATGCCTTGATTTATATTTTTTTGTAATAATATATTACAATTAAGAAATTAATTGATATTATAATTAGTTGTGTAAATTTTCGGTATTGCCTTAAAAAAAGAAAAAAAGAAAAAAAGCAGTATACTTGTCTGCTTAAAGGGGCTTTCAAGTATCAACAGTTTCGTATCTACTTCCAACTCGAACTCCGCTACGTACTTGTACTTCAATTTTATGTTTGTTCAATTTCTATTTTAAAATTTAACCATAAAATAAAATTAAATAGAAAACTCCTACCCACACCCTAATGATACTTCTTTTGCTGGAGAATTCTTTTCATGTAACCCCCTGTGGCAAGGATGAGTGAGTGCCCTAATCTCAAATTACATAAATGTAAACTTACTTTCCGTGGTTTAAAAATATGAACTTTATCCTAAATTATGAAAATGTTTTCACACTCTATCTAAGGACTTTTTCAAGAATAAAATTCACATGTTTTCATGACTAACCAAAAAAAAAGAAAAAAAAAAGAAGAAGAGAATGTGCTCATAATTCTTTTATAATTTATAAAACATGCATTTGATACCTAAATTTATTAAGAGTTTTTTTATTTTGTGCTTTTAGGGTACAGAACAAGAGTGTATTTATTATACATTTTTATTATAAATGTATATAAAAATATAAAAGTTAATATTAATTTTTGTATTAAATAAATTTAATTAGATAATTAATAAATTAAAAGTTAATTTTTATTTTTTAATATAAATTTATGATAAAAAGATGTATTTAATACACCCTTAAGGCAAAGGTTAAACAATCTCATTTATTAATATCAAAAGTGAAATTTAAAATTTATTTTAAAATATTTTAGGAATGAAGTGCACATTTTTAAATCACAAACAAATTAACAGCACATTTTCATTTTTTTAGGATAAAAAATAATATAATTATAATATTACGTGATATTATAAACTTATAGTATGATATATCATCGTATAATTAATTTTTTTCTTAAAAATCCATTTGTTATATCATATGAATTTATTATTATTCAATTAATGATACGTCACACTTATGTAATATAACATCATAATTATAATTGTACAATTTTACATAACATTATAGCTAATTACGAATTTAGGATTAAGAACCTGTTTGGTATAGCTG